ATTATTGGTGTAGTTTCTCCCTTTCTTCTTTTGCAAAGTCTTGATATTGTTTTCATAAATAGATGTTGTGGAGTGGTATGATTCTAGTTTCATTTCTTTTTGGTGTGGCATTGGTGTAGTGTTCTCTTCATGGTTGTGTGTATTTGGTGTGTGTTTCATTCAATGGGTTCACAAATCAAGCTAAGGTTTGTGGTGTTATGAGTACACTCTTTTGTGTGATGGCCATTCTTTTCGGGTTAGATTGTTTGCGGTTAGGTCTTCATATCCTCATGTTTCGGTTATCCTTTCGTTGTTGTGTTAGGTATATCTTATATATGTTTATTTATCTTTTTGGTCTTTAAATTCAAAGTAAAGATCATTCTCGGTGGAATCTAAATCAATATTGGATGTTTAAAGTGATGTGTCGCGTTTTGCTATCGTCGATTTTAAAAGATGTGGTGTATTTGACCATTATGCTCTTTGCTGCGATGGGTACTCTTGATTTGAGATTTACATTGGGGTCGTCCTATTTGGCTTTACAAAGACTTGTAGTATTGTCCTCCAAGTAGTGTGCGGCTACTATGTTTTCTATTGATTCAAAAGGTACTGATAGAAATCCGATGGCTTGGTCTGACCATCTTTTTGATGATGTTCTTCATGTGGTGTGATCCTCTTACATTATATTGATTATTCAAAATCCTACAGATGAGGGTGGTGCTACTTTTTATTGGGCTTTTGTTGTTGCTCATCTTCTTGGTGCTATATCACATCTGTTGCTTTACATTTACATTTTATTTTTCTTTCTTTCTTTGATTATAATTTAAATACTTTGTAATTTTTCCAGATTCACATTGATTTTATATTATAAAATCTTCCATCCATTTAAAAAAAATCAACTAGATTCACTCATTCCGGCTTCTTCTGACCTCTTTTTGATCTTCAATCTTCAGCCACTAGATTCTCCTTCCTTCAACACTTTCACTTTTGGCCACCATCGTGAAGTGCCCACAAAATTAAATTAGGGCTGTATTGGGATCAAAAGTGATTTCACATTGAATACAATTTATAACGATCATGATATCGATTATTTAACTAACTATACTTACTTAAGGTAGTACATACATGTATATTTAAGTTTAAGTTTACATAAATACTAGTTGTGAGACTCATGTATTACATGAGTTAATTTAAAAAAAAAAGTTAAATATAAATGTCAAAATATTTGATAACTTTGAATTTATAAGAAAATAATAAAAAGAATGAATTATTATAATGAAAATATTTTTTATCTTTTAAATTTAAATAAATAAACAAAAATAACTAATGAGCTTTAATTTTGAGAATTTTGAAATTAAAAGAAAAGTTGATTAATGAAATTGATACCCATTTATTCCTACATTTATTGCAATTATTACATTAAAATATTATGTGGAAATTAAAAAATAAAAAACTCATAAAATGATATGTGGAAAAAAATTAATTCAAAATAACCATCAAATGACATTTGACAATTTGAATGGAAATATGACAAGTAGTAAAAAAACTTTCATTTATATTAGGGTAGATATAAGTATATTTTGTCCAATATTCCCCTTAGAGCATCTACAATAGTGAGTTCAATGAGAGAGTTCAATGAGGTGACAAATCTATATGTTATTCAATGGATGAAACTCTACCATTGTAAGATGCCATCTTGGCATTCAATGAATTTGAAGTTTAATAGCCATTGAACTTTTCAATGGGGAAAAAGAAACTTTTTAATTCATAAATATTTACTATAAGTTACATTTTGTAACATTCTATTGAACTTTATAGAGTTCAATGCATTGTAGAAAAAAAAATGATAGAGTTGTATGGATTATAAAAAAATAATGTGACAATCCATTAAACTCTATGAAGTTCAATGCATTGTGGATACCCTTAATCTACACAGCATAGCAAACGTTTAGACCGGATGAAAACCACAATAAAAGTACTCACTAGCTAGGTACATAAATGAAACTGATATCAACGATTCAAAAAATTTTGGCAAAAATTATATACCTCTTTCAACATGTTTTTTCTGGAACCGTTGAATTATATAAAATTGGTAACAATTTACAATAAACAAACCAATTATAATTTATAATGAATATGGGCTTTATAACCACAAGAATCAATCGACTTTAGTTCTACGGTTAAACACAAAAGAAATATTTTTCTCAACAATACTACTCTTATGAAAGTTATTAGAGCAAAGCATAGCGCTACGATAATTTTAGATAACTCAAATGATAGTAGCGACCGCAACATCGAAAGTTAGTCATCTAAATACAGACATTGAATGTGAGTCACTCCAATCAAAATTCAAACATATCACACATTGTCGTAAAATGTGGAATATGAAAATCCAACCATCGGCCAATACTTTGTCACACCTAACTTCCACCTCGCATGTCAAAATTAATGACTATTTTCCTTATTATGGTTACTATAGCAAAAACATAAAAAAGAGTCCAAATTAACCTCCGATTCACCAAATTGATTATAGTAGGAAGCCCATGAAGAAGTACCCTCCATATGAAAATATATTTTTCTAAGAAGATAATTGCTTCCATCAAGTGATTGAATTTCAAGTAGGCAAAATCGCTTTATTATAATGAGTTCTAGCATAACTAACTAGAATTGTTTTGATGGATTTTACCCCAAACCAATTTATCACTCGTATCCAACGATACAAAGGTATCAAGCAAAAGAAGTAATCCGTTAAATTGAGAGAATTAACTTGGTCCCACCCTTCACAAGCCGACACCAAGACTAGGACCAATTGTGAGCATCTCTTCAATTATTGATATGTCAATCCATGTTTGTTTCAATAAAATATAATCTCAGAAATCTATCCATAAGAGTACTAACTGTTACCTACCTTTTTATTAATACAATAGCATAAGAACTCATTTTTCACGTAAATTGTTAATAGACATGATAATTTCTAACCAAAAATATATAAAGCTAATGTCATCATCATTTATATTCAACCCACCTTCAGGATCATGGATCGCTTTAACAACTTTGACCCAAAGAGCGTTAAAGTTATTTTAGAATCACCACTACCATTTTTAAAGAGTACTGTTAAAAGCAAAAAAGAATTACTAAAACAAGATCAATGATCTCTTTAGCAGCCAATGAGCATCCATGTTCTCCAATGTTAAAGTTCGTAGCTTCGAATCGTATAACAAACACAAGCCAAAACACAAACATAATCAGAATTCATATCATACATGCCTCTATGTTGTAATATAGGGTCTTGTAACACCTAATATTGGGTCATTGAGGACACAAAAACATATGATAAAGCCTCTAATCTACTACCGAGTACATCCCTATACCACCAAACCTAATAGGTAAACAAACTAGTCTATACTAGATATCTACAAAGAAAGAACCTCCACAAACCACCATGTCGTTAATAGACCTGCATAATCATTTGTCAAAGAAAAATTCCGCCTACTTCATATGTACAAGTTGGTATATCTTTAAGACAAAGAATAGTTTGGCAATAACATTACTAGATAGAAGCAAAATGAACTCTCCCCAGGATCACATAACTAGGGAATAAAACACATCAAATTAACAGTGTTGACAACTCTCTTCATGGCTAACCTGTTAATAAAACTTGCGTTTACAGCCCTCGAAGAAGCTTTACCCCAAATGATAGCCTCCCGATGCCAATAAAGAATAGACCATCGCAAAGATTTCTACCATCATATAAAGAGCATAATAGCTCAGATTTTTTTTTTCTTTATTTTAATATTATTTTGAAGATCCAATCCTAGACGGATCACTTTAATGATGTCCAATATTTATGATAAAGTCAATTAAACATCTTCACATCCTTTGGTATATGCATTTAAGTTTTTATTTATATGAAATGTAATAGAGCTATATTTATGCTTACTTATTATGTAATTTCTGCATAAAAATAACAATGAATGAAAAGCAATATAGAAAATTTCTTCCAAATATACTAACGACTGAAAAACTGTATTGAATAGTGAAACCATACGTCAATAATAACTGTAAATTTTTTTATTGTTAATCAGTCGCCAATGAATTTCATCAGAGTGAATAATAGTAGAATCCAGTTTAATCGTCATTCACGATGATCTGTTGTTAATTTCCCCGTTTAGCAGCTTTTCTAATATGAAAATCCAATTTAATCTTAATTTGTGTACATATACAACAATATAACTAAAAATTTTACACAGAATTATGATTTTAAGCTCGTAGAAGAAATATAAATTTTTATAGGATTTAATATTTATATAAAATACGACACAGGCTAAACCAATACTAAAAAAAATCAGATTGAATTTTACAACATTAGGACTTAAAAATATTTCTCAAAAGATATGATCAAAGATTCAAAATGTTTTGTAAAAGAAAAACAACCCATCAAAACCTACACTTTAATGTAAAAAAAGATTGATCGAACCAGTCAAATGATGCATAATCGAAATGGCATCGCCATGAAAAAGATCCAACAAATTAAATCATGCATCAAAGCGGCATCCCAGATCTTCCATGATGTTTTAAATCATCATTCCTTGTTGATTGAAAACGATTAATAACATCTTTCAAGCACAGTTGTATAATAGTTGTTATTTAATAAATTAAATTCAACAAAACGGCATATGGCATATTAAGGTTCAATATGTATATGGAGTTATTGAACCCGTCAATAAGAAAAAGAATTTTTTTAAGTTTAAAAAAAACGATTCACCCAACATTTTATACTTCAATGTGTTGTTGGAAGAAATAATAAAATTGTTTTAAAACTACGATCATTAGAGTTTAATGAATTCCAAAATCACTAAGAAAGAAACATGAAAGCCCAATATAGTAGAAAGAGAAGTGGAAAATATATATTTGAAGATATATAATGAACATGATCAATATGAACATGCTACAATAGTTGCTGAATTTACAACTATCGAAGCCACAAAGACGCTTCGTTTCTTATAATACTTGTAGAACATAACTTAAAAAACTAACACTTCATGTCCAAGCTGCGAAACAACTCCAGCTAACACCAAATTATCTCGACATAGTGGACATGTCCTATTCCTGAACCTTATCCATCGATCCAAACAAGCTTCATGAAATAAATGACCACACCTCAGCTCTCTTATCTCTTCATCTTCTCCAATCATACTCAAGCAAACAACGCATTCCACTTGTTCCATACATGTTGGTTCGAACCTTGTCTGGTTAGTCGCAAGTCCTTGAAGATTTTGTAGTTGATGGTGAAAAAAACATTGGTGTAGAAGAAAACTCCATGCCCACTTGAGGTTGGAAGCTACAAGTTTTATGTGGGATTGGATTAGATCTGTAATGATGCATATGGATATATAGATGAGGTCTACTGATGAAGAAGGTGAGAAGCTTTGTGCGATCATCATTTTGAAGGCTAGCTGTATAGACAATCTATTTGCTTGTTTAGTTAGTCTTTTTATAGGGAGGAAAATACCATATGTTGTTAGTCTTTTCGTAATCACCGGTATTTAATTATTAAACGTTTATTTACACGACTTAGATGACCATTCTAAGTCGTAATCATTGATCTTAAATTGAAAACATTTGCAGTGGTTTACAAGCAATAAAACATTTACTTAAATTGATATAAATTTTGAAAAGGACAATATTATTCTCCTCTTGTTCAAATATGGTAACTATAAACTAAAATAATTAAGGTAACTTTATTCCACAAGTTCACCTTAGTAATTTAAAGTGACTTAAGAGGACTAAACTGCCTAGCAAATGTCAAAAATGGGCAGCCTTCGTAATATATTTAATATGAAAACACGTGCACATGCATATGTATCACATACACACACAAAATATACATATATATACATAATTTATGAGCGTCAAATCCGACTTTAATTTATCGAGCTTTGTTCTCTCTTGACTACAATGGTAAATGGTTGGCCAAACTATCTTTTTATAAAAGTTTTAAATTTTTATTACAAGTGTAGAAATCTAAGTGCTTTGTGTTATTTTCGTCTACCCATGTTTCAATCTATTGATATTTTAATTTCAATAAGAGTTAGTTTTTTTATATAATTAAAAAGTTTTAGAGCTTACATGAAAGCCGAATAAAAACAAGCATGTCCGTATGCATGCATGCGAAGAAAAATATGATATTTGAAGCGTTTTTATTTTGAATGTTGACTATGGAATTTTTGAAGAAGTTTATTCTTAGAAATAGTGTAGTGGATTATGACATTGGATATTTTATAATAATAAATTTTATAATAATAAACTAATAAAAAAATATTACCCAATTAATAACAATGAGAAATGTAAAAGTTTTACTTTTTGTAGTGCATAATTACGCTCATATATTGTTCATCTACTTTTTTTTAACATCAACAACCATAATTTTTTAAAAGAAACCATGCATAACACACTAGCGAACCAGCGAGTAGTGAGTTAGATTACAAAGAGATTAAGCATATTACGATATTTGGTCCAAACAATCTTAACAAAAAGGGTTGTGGAATATTTGATCAATAAGATATTTTTGTTAAGGTTATACCCACTATTATATGCATATTGCTATCAGGAAGAAGTTATTCAAGAGTTAGTCAAACACTATAACACTATTACAATAATATATATATATATATATATATATATATATATATATATATATATATATATATATATATATATATATATATATATATATATATATATATATATATATATATATATATATACTAGGTGTACACTCGCGCAGAGCGACGGTAACAATTATTACTGTTTCGATGAATGATTTTTTATTTAGAAAATGTTATTTGACTATTTCAATGACTATAAATTTTCTGGTTGATATGATAAATAAATTTCATACCCAACCTTTAGCCAAACATCATGCTCACGTTAAAAAAAAATAATAATAATAATTTTGATTTCCTTCCTTAAATATTTTTATTGATTATTTTTTACCATAATTAATTTTTGTTCATAAAAAGATGAGTGATTTGTGCATAACAAATTTGTACATTAATTTATCAAGTATATACCTCTTAAATTTCAAGAAAAATTAAATATGCTTTATAATATAGTTATATATATATATATATATATATATATATATATATATATATATATATATATATATATATATATATATATATATATATATAATCTTAAATTTTAAAATGTATAAGTTACAAAGTTTTTTACTCAAATCAATTATGCATAAATAAATCAATAATATTTCTCAAAAGCTTGAAAACTTCAATTAAAAAATGTTATTAAGAAATTCAATTTGAAACAAACCATCAATTTTCAAATATTAAATTCATATATATAAATTAATTTACATTTTTTCAACTAGAAATTAATATTAATAATTTACATTAATACTATAGACAAACAATATACATATAATATCTAAACATAAATATTTTATTTAAAAGAGATATTTTTTTTATTACATAACTAATAATAAAATCTAATAATTATTTTCTCGCAAAAAGTTCTATTTATCACCGTCTCTTAGTGACACACAAATCTAATATATATATATATATATATATATATATATATATATATATATATATATATATATATATATATATATATATATATATATATATATATATATATGGTATTTCATGAAATACATACACATATAAGAGTAATTATAATATTAATAATAGAATGTATAAATAACAAAAGTATTTTCATTTGATAAAGTAAAAAAAATATGATAATAATAATAATAACTCGGAAAGAAGCATGGGCTTCGCCCCAAGACGGTTTTGTTCTTATCCATACATTGTACGTTGGTAAACCCAAAGCAATAACAAATCTGTAACCAAAAGATTAACCGCAAGATGCATCATCCCAAAAATCATAGTAAAAATCTTCATTTTTTAAACCCTTTAATATTCCATAAACCATATAAAAACATTATTTCCAAGAGCATAGTCAAAACCAAAGTATCCTAGAATCATCAATTAACAAAATACCCAAGGATGATCTGCACAATCACGCATTCACCTTGCCCTAGTCATATGATATACCAGAAATCATAAAATCAAACTGTAAGTCAAAGCTTAGTGAGTTTTCCCAAAATACCCACACCACAAAACATATACAAACATGTATGTTAGGTTCACAGTGTTCCGACTGGATTACCCCTGGCTCACAGTCTTCCGACCGGATTGCCCCTGGCACATAGTCTCCGGACAGGATTGCCTTTGGGGCATAGTCTCCCGAATGGATTGTCGTTGGGTTTGTTGGCCGGGAGAACAAAATAGCACCACCTCAACTCACCCATACTATTTTGACATATGTAACAGATAAAATAAGCATATAACACTACTAGAAAAACAGCCTTTTACGACACTCAATGCGCATCGTAAAAGGCTCAGACGACGCGCAAATGTGTGTCAAGGAAGGCCCTGTCATAAAGAGAGACGACGCGCATTTACGATGCTCATTTACGACGCGTAATTACGACGCGCGTTTACGACACGCAATGCGTATCAAGGAAGGCCCTGTCATAAAGGAAGATGACACGCATTCGCGTGTCGTAACCTTACGACGCGCGTGTTAATGGCACGCAATGCGTATCAAGAAAGCCCCTGTCAAGAAAGGCCATGTCATAAATGCAGAGGACACACATTTTTGCGTATCGTAAATTTAAATGTTTAAAAAAAATAAATTTATATATTTATTAATTTTTAAATTAAATTTGCATTTAATTTCTCATAATAGAAATAAAATACCATATACAAAAAATACAATCCATTGCATAATATAAAATAAAATTTCATACTCAAAAAATAAAATAAATTGCACAAATTGTAATGTCATACAAAGAATCATTCAAATGTTAAACAAAAATAATACATTGCTAACATGGGTTATACATTCCTATAAAACTAACAAATAATCATACAACTCTGTTTCTTACTGGAAAGGAATGCCAAACATGATTACAAGTCTCCCTTAATCTTGATTACTCACCTTCTTAAGTAGAATGTTGTTGTTGAGAAGGTTACCTAGCAACAGAGAAAAACACAACACCTCTCCCACAATCACAACATCATTTACAGAGAAAGGGTTGTCAATTACTTTCATTAAGACTTTCATTCAATCACAAAAATATTAAATAAAAGGGTGAAACAGTAACTTACTTTTGATAAGTTGATCTCCCTTAGAGCAAACACAGCTAAAGCATTGAACAAGACCCTATTTCAAAATTTTATAAATACACAAATCATGATACCTGATATTGGAATACACACTTTGAGACATGAATAAATACGAGTAGATTAACCTGGATACATAGGAAGTAAAGATGGAAGGTGCCAGAACTCCGGGGGCATTGGGTTGGTTCCTTCCCACTCGCACACACCAAGCCAGAACTCCACTTAATCCAGCACCAAAATAAGCCTGCATTCAGAAAGCTGCAGGGGTGAGTCACAATTCAAGAATCTGTTAAAATTTGAGGAATAACATGTTCAACCAAAACAATATTAGAAAACAGGGTTAAATGTGAAACATAGCAATGTAATAATTATCAAGGTGCTGGAATACTTGAAATCTAGATTATTTGCTTGTTTGTACATCCAGACGATTTTATCACGAACATAAGTCATGTTATCAACTTTCTGAAGAAGTATACCAAGACATTTGTAGGAGAAGAATACTCTCAATAAGATAATTTAATTAAAAAATGTAATGATAATGATAATGAGTTCATACCTGTGAAGTAGTGCAGAATGCTCATCATCATATGTATAAAGCTCATACTGCTTTGCAAAAGCATTTCCAAGAGAAATGACCCAATCAATGTCTTGAACAACATCCAAAGTTTCTGCAAGAAACTGCAAACAAAAAAAGAAATAAATAATAATGACATGAAAAGTAAGACTATCAGTCTATTACCTCAACAATAAAACAAAACAAATTATTATTAAAATCAAATAATGATAATACAAATTGTTACAAATTATGGGACAGCAGGGTCTTCTATGATAACATATAAAGCAGCCCTATTACAATATTACCCTTGTGGGACAGCAGGGTCTTCTTCTATGATGACAAATTGTGGGACAGCAATACATGACTAAATGCATGTAGATTGATAAGGTTGTTTCTTTTTTACTTAATAAAATCAAAATGACTTGTCATGCTAAGTGAGAGGTTGGTCACTTTATGTATTAAGACCCTCCCTATTACAATATTACCCTTGTTTATTTTTTTATTTTATTCAACTTTTGACAATCTCATGAAAAAGGCACTATCGACCTCGGTTTTTTTCAATGTTCACAGAATTTTAAGCAAAATGTTGGCATCTATTTACCTGTTGTTGTTTGTTTTAGAATTTGGAGAGAGAGAGAGAGAGAGAGAGAGAGAGAGAGAGAATTTCATGCCTTTATGGTGTATCAAAGGAGGGTGCGAAAAGACAACCCAGTTACCATCCTAAGCAATTAGTGGTCCTAGACCATGTGAAAAACAGAGCTCATATCATAAGCTGATTTCATAAAAAGATATAAAAAGAAAGACTAAAGAGCCAGTACCAGTTGATCAAACCCATGACATCTTTTGTGTGCCCAATGAATTTGTTCATGACAAGTGGATCCGAAGGACATATTGCATTTGCTTGCAAAAAAAAAACTATACACAACCAAAGAAAAATGAAATTACATCAAACCAAATAAAGAAAAGGGTATTTTAGACATTTTTTTAAGAATGTGGTATAGCAATTACTACCTGCTCAGCGAGTTTAGGTAAGTGACACCTAAAGATTAAAAACAAATAATTTAATCATATTACACTTTGATAATATTATCATTTTTTAATTTAAATAAAAGAAAATTGATAAATTACCCAGGAAATAAGCTTGCAGCAGTTCAATAACCAGCCATAGCTTGATCATCTGCTTCTTTGGGTGCATAAGCATTCCCATATCCTATCCAACCAGGGGTAAATATTCCTTCCAAGTTACCTGTAAGTGTTGTGATAGATTAATCAAAAATTAATTAATTAATCAAAAATCAAAAATAGGATGGAACCTTTTAAGTTACCTATTAAGTGTTGTGATAGATAATGGGCAAGAGTAGCTTCACCATGGAGGATTTTAGCGCCACTCCCAACTGCCTCCTCATCAACAACCACACCATCTATTATATCTTTACCTGTTCTTTCATTAGGAATTTGCATTACATTTATAAATTATCATTCTATTTCTATCATTTCATTATAAAAAGAAAAAAATAATACAGTAGTAATCTTTAGACACAAACCTCATACATGGCATTTCATAGAGTTGAACATTGAAGTAGTTTGTTGAACAGCAGTTTTTTGGTCCTCTTGTGATCAGACAACATAACAAGTCTTCATCCCAAATACACAATTAAAGATTTTTTTTTCTTAAAAAAAAAAAAAAAGAAAAGAAATAATATGGTTTTAGTTTACCTGGATGCTATCCTTCCCAATCCAACAGCACAGGTAGTGATCTTCTTTCTTTTCATCAGAATGGTAGGAGTAAAGACAAATATAGCAATCTCCACTGTAAAATTTTCCAATATCCTCCTTGGGTAATTCCGTCTTTTCTTCACCATCAATACGCCATACCTAAAGCACCCACAATTATTTTATCTTTCTACATTAAATCTAAATGTAGCAACAAGTTTATGATCTGAAACCTCAATTTTTCCATTTTCTCCAAGCAAAGGTGGAACTTCCTCCTCTACAGGAGCCGTTTTTGTCTGACCTTTGGCAAAAGCACCTTGTTGCTTCAGCAGAGCTAGTCATTAGAACAAGAGTAAAACTTAGGGTAAGTTTTAGAAAAAGTCAAAAATAGCCCTAGAAAACTCAAACACCCATGTCCCATGTAACAAAAATATATATAAGATATAGAATGAATCTACCTGCTACTTTTCCTCTAGTTTCCTCAGGAGGTCAACTTAGGGTTCAAGAATGAATCTACGCCCACAGAGTAAAGAATCCAACTCACTTGTAGAAAATATTTGTAAACTTGAAGCCTCAAAAACCTGATAGTAATAAGATAAAATATTAGCTTAAAAAAATTATTTTGTATATTTTCTAATTCCATAAACAATTTAGCATATTAGAATGTTGGAAAAAGATGATGACCTGATTAAAGCCAGCTCTAAATGCTTCCAATTGCCTTGTGATACAGAGAATCAAACTTACTTCTTGTTTCTCCTCCCACGTTTAGGTCCCCATCCTTCAAGCTTTGCAACAGGGCAACCCACATATGAAGTTCATATGTGGTGGAACTTGTCAAATAAAAGAAAAAGATAGAACTGAATGCGTTCATCTTAATCGGTCACTTCAATCAAGAATTAGTGCCCTAAATCTTCAACTACATATGTCTTAACAATTTCACATAAATAATTATAAAGGATTGTTACAATTATCTGAAATTTCAGATCTAGGGATGACGTACCTGGAGCCCTTGGTCACTCAAAGATGATTTCCTCGGTAGAAACTATGGTGAGTTTGGCGCTGACGTCCTCTTGAACGGCATCACCGAACTTAGGCCAAGAACACCTCTCCATGGCGCGCTTGCTCAGCCGATAATTAGCAATTTTATGGATGCGTGTGGTGGTGGTGATCTTAAGCCGATTACCTTCGTCGTTGAATTTGTACTTTCAACCCGTGTTCATCGGGTCCAATAACCTGTTTCAGCGGCAACAAATAGTCATAGTCACCGCCATCAACTTCTTCCTCCAATTCGCCCCATCTGGGTTTTTGAGCCATGTCTGCGAAGCTGCTAGAATTGTTGTTGAGGGAAAATTAGGGTAGGAGATTCGAAGTGGTAATGTGAATAAGATGAAGATGTAATGAAGTCGGTTGTTGTGATTCTTTAGGCTTCAAAATTGATAGATTTTTTTTCGATTCTTTCAAGTTTGAATAAGAAAATGAGAAAGAGTTAGGGAAATCAAGAGTGCAATGCTCGTCCTTGTTAGGTTGAAGATGAAAGATAGATAGAAGATAGCAAAAAAAAGGCAGGTTTTCAAAATTTTGGGGATTTCATTTCCCCCCTTGTCTACTAAAATTATAAAGTGACAGGTACAGACGACGCGCGTTTAAGATAAAGCGCCCTCTGTGTTTTTAGTTTTTTTTTTCTTGAGACACTAAATTAAGGGCACGCAATAAAGCGTGACGTAAATCCTTAAATTTTTTGGAGAGATGACACTATTTTAATGGCACGTCCTTTTGCGTATCGTTAATTACCGCGTGTCGTAAAAAGCGCGTCATTAAAGGTCTTTTTTCTAGTAGTGTAACCAATAAGTATATGTAATCATACAAGTCTACCACTCTAACAGTTTACTATAGCATAGGAACACCCTATATACCCGGGTAGATGGCTCAAGCTTGTGGGCCAACATTGGTGCCTTCAACCTACGAGTATAGTGAGGAAAAACTCACCTTAAAGTCTAGAAGAATGCTGAACTGATCACTTCTCTAAATATCGACTCTACAGGTCACCTAAACATCAAAAGTGACCAAGCCCAATCCACTACTCAAATTACCCCATTTGATCTAAAGTCAAACTTAGTCAAAGTCGACGGTTAAAAAGTCAAATTTCAACATTCAGCCCTAGTACACCCAACATACTAGCTCTAAGCCAATGTAGATTCTAAGATGGCGATTACGGGGAAATATGGCTCTAAGCCTCGTGTAAGGGAAGTTACACCCTATGTACTCCCAGAAACTTCAACTTAATCATTAAGTCATTAATCCCGACCAATGTCCATTCCAATTTTCAGATCTCTCTTCTCCTAAATTTCCTAATGGATAAAGACTAAAACTTTATCGATTTGTATCCATACTAAAGGCACAAGCTCATAATCTAACTCCAAAAGTCATCCAAATCTCGATAATTTATGAATGGATGAATGAGAGTGACCAAACTCTCATTTTAATAACATATCAAGCCTAGAAACATTTGGAAGTGATACTCCAATGGTCTGCAGTAGCGCATACTCATATACACCAAGGTTATGGGGACAAAAAACATGAAAACCTTAACAAATCTAGATCTAGCATAGAAACACATCAAGATAGGGATTTATATGTCCTGTTGATGGATAAGGGAATGTAGCTTCTAGATCCAAGGCTGATTTGAGCTTCAAAGTAATTCCACAGCCTTTTTCTGTCTTTAAAATCACATAAACACACTATTAAGATCATAAATACACCAAATGGGAACTAGGGAGGATGTGAATGGAAGGGCTTATAAAGAGTTAAAGCCATAAAATATGGGTTAAAACCCCAAAATTAAGGTTCGGACTCTGGGCAAGTTCGTGCTGTGTACTAAGATTTACACCCAACGTAGATCATTTATACCCCGCTCCAAGTTACTCCCTCTACGTAGTGCATAGAAGGCTATCTACGCCCTGCATAGATCAAAATCCAACATTTCATTTTAAGAAATAAGGAAAGGAATTTACCTACAATGCTCGGGTCTTACGATTCGCCCCCACTTGAATCAGACTTCGTCCTTGAAGTCTAATGTTGCAAATAATTAAGGGTAATGCTCACGTATCTCCCCATCGGGTTCCCAAGTCCACTCGAAACCCTTCTGATGCTACCACTGGATCTTGACCAAAGGTACTTGTTGCACAAGGCCTTCATCTTTCTGTCTAGAATCGTTATCGATCTCTCCACTTAATTCAGGTGATCATCGACTTAAATTTCGTCCAAAGGAACCACCACCGAATCGTCAACCACACACTTCAGAAGCTGAGAAACATGGACCGTGTTGTGAACCTGACTAAGCTCCTCATGCACATCCAATCAATAGGTAACCTTGCCTACTCTGGCCGCTACTCGGAACGACCCGGTAAATCAAGGACCCAACTTACCTCTTTTCCTGAAGTGTATAACACCCTTCCAGGGTGATACCATCAGCAAAACCATATCTCCCACCTGAAAATCTATCTTGGATTTTTGTCTGTCGGCATAATTCTTCTGTCGGCTCTGGGCGGTTTGTAATCTTTGCTTAATCTGTTGGATCAGCTACGTCGTCTGAAGGACCACCTCGATCCTAACCATTACCCTGTTGCCGACCTCTCCCTAAAAAAATTAGTGTACAACACTTCCTCTTATAGATAAGCTCGTACGACGGTGCACCAATACTAGAATGATAGATGTTGTTGTAATAAAACTCAGCTAGGGGAAGATAGGAACGCCAACTCCCACCGAAATTGATGACACAAGCCATCAATATATCCTCAAGCATCTGAATGGTCCGCTCACTCTGATCATCAATCTGAGGGTGATAAGGAGTGCTGAAATGCAACCTCGTACTCTCCTCATGAAACTTTTACCAAAACCGAGAAGTAAACTGAACATCGTGGTTAGATACAATAGAGACTGATACACCATGGTGAGCAACAATCTCATGTACATACATGTTGGCCAATTTACTAGATGAAGAACTCTCCCGAATGGAAAGAAAATGGATACTGTTGGTCAAATGGTCAACGATAACCCAAATCACATCAAATCCCTTGGTTTTCCTCAAAAACATGTTGATGAAATCCATAGTGATCTGCTCCCATTTCCACATAGGCAGTTCCAAAGGCTGAATCTTTCCATGCAGCCTCTCATGCTCTACCTTGACCATCAGGCATTTCAAACATCTCTCCACATGCCATGTTATCTCCCTTCATGCAGGGCCACTAATAACTAAGCCTCAAGTCCTGATACATCTTTGTGGCTCCAGGATAGATCAAGAACCTGGACTTGTGTGTAGACGTGGCAAAAGATCGGGTTTTGTCCCTGATCCGCTCCAAAACCATGCAAAATTAATGGGTTTAGATTATATTTTATCATAACATGTACCCATTAACCCTTTTATTAAAAAGGTCAGGTATGGATCATTATCGACCTGAGCTGTTTATGGTCCACCCGTCTAAAATTTAAAATATAAAATTATTATTTATAAGTTATAATACATCTATCAATCAATATACGACTAATAGGAGTCGAGGAGTTCCACTTCATGTTCAACGGTTCAACTTTCCAATTCCTAATCCTAATGACTGGATTGTCAGTCGAATCCCTCAAATAACTCTATGAAATTTGTATTCCATAATCAAGAATAAGAATAAGAGTTGAATAGAATTCAATCAAGATTTAAGAATAAGAAGAAACGGTTGCAACCGAGTGATCGACATTCTAGAATCCACAATCAGGTTTGTTTTATAACATTCAAATTGATAGTCGACTTCCAATATAAATATAATCAAAACTCGAAAATCGACTTATTGAAAATGTTTGTTAGTGTAATCAGAACTCAAAAATTAATTATTGAAATCATTTGGAGTCTCTAATTGTGTGTTATTGAAATTGATATTCGAAATTAAATTATGATTTTAGTAATTGAATTTTGATTTCTGTAACTTCTTGTTCATTATTGAAATGCAAGTCGACTCGGAAATCAATTATTGAAATAAGAACTTAGAAAACACATCGGATTGTGGATGGTGGATTGTGGAATGCTAACATATTGTTAGTCTAATCATCTGTTAATCTAAATCTTTTGATTTTTGATTTTGGTAGTCGACTTCTTATTTCTGAAATAGAATTTCGCAATTGATGGTACATGCTTTTGCATAAATTTAATATTGTAAACGGGTTGTATAAAAGGGTTGAAATCCATTGATCTGGTGGATAAGGGTATGGGGTTAATGATTCAAAACCTTGTGGGTTACGGGTTGGGTTTGGATCATCATTTGAAAATTGTAACAGCTCAAATTTTCAAATAAAATTTTCATTTAAAATAAAACATCATTATTCGACAAAAGAGTTTATTCCAAGTTTATTGCAAAATATAAATAATGAATCCTCAAGATCTTCAACAATGGCAGTGTGTACGTGTCACGCCGGCGCCTTCCCACGGTCATCACTAGTACCTGAAAAACATAAACACAACTAGTAAGCATAAATGCTTAGTGAGTTCCCCAGTATACGACTTACCCACATACGCCTTCCGGCCCGGACCTTTCGGTCCACATAACATTGCCTTCCGGCCCGTAACATAATCGCCTTCCGGCCCATAACATATCGCCTTCCGGCCCATAGTATTTTGCCTTCCGGCCCATAATAGTAATAAACATAACACATATAACATATCACACATAACACATAAATCATACATCATACCGTTCTTTCTATCACATAAAGTCTCGCCTTCCGGCCCGTATAAGCATACATCACATATAAAGCATCTACCTCTCTAGACATAGCATAAATATAACACATACGACCTTCCGGCCACGCAGTCAAACCCTTCCGGGTGCAGTATAGTGAGAAGACTCACCTCGTAATATGCAAGCTATAAACCCTTCGAGCCCCTCGCACTCGATCCGCTAATCTGCAGGCTCCCTATAATACCACATACCTTTATTAATGATCTTATCAAACAAGACAACTGACCCTACTAAATTACATACAAGTCAACGGTCAACTTGACCGGACTCGTCGAGTGCAAAGGCAACTCGGCGAGTCTAGACACCCCGACTCCACTCGCCGAGTCTAAAGAACGACTCGACGAGTTCCAGTAGATCTTCAAGCTACTCGCCGAGTCTGAAGAACAACTCGGCGAGTCCTAGTGAATCTTCAAGATACTCGCCGAGTCTGATCATTGGACTCGGCGAGTCCTCGCCATGCAGTCAATCAACTGCCTCCTGTAACTCGCATGATTCCGTAATATATAGATATGGGACTTCCTGGACCTTCACATATAC